ACTTCCAATTCGGTAGAAAGTCAATTTTTGGGTTCCAAATTTCACGAAATGTTTCCAGATAAACTGGTGATTCCGGAAGGCGTGACTGTAATTCTCTCGATTTATCACGCACACCGGAGCCCGGAACATTGGGAAAAMCCCGATGAATTTTACCCGGAACATTTCGCACCGGAAGCGATGAGTAAAAGACATCCTTATGCTTTTATCCCGTTTAGTGCAGGACCTCGTAGATGCATAGGTACAAAAAAATTATTTAAACCAAAAAWTTTAGTTTGTTTTTCAGCCCAACATTATTCCTACACTTACATGAAAATTTTACTTGCTACAATACTTCTCAATTACGAAATCGAGTGCCGATTTAAAGCCCAAGATATTAAATTAATTGCAGATATTTCAATCAGACCGCAACAAGGATACATGATTAAGTTAAAAAACAGGACAAACTGAAATTTATTTACAAAGTTAACAGTTTCTTATATTTAATATTAGGAGATTCTTTTACGCAGTTATTTATGTRTAGAGAACGGACTTTTGTAATGTTGAGATCTTCAATAAATTATATTTTTAATTTAGTTTCGAACCACTTTTTGATTTGATTAAATCTTGTTTCGATTTTAGTTTACCGATTACCTAATCAGAGATCTGTTAGCTTTGAATAGCTTTTCTCTGAGAAGGATTTTCGGAGTCAGGTGAGTCTTTTAGTCAAAAAATTTTTCTATCAGTATTTTCATATGAAATTTCTTGTGTGTTGATGTGGATGGATTAGAATTTGATGTTTTGGAGCATTTAAATTTTATTACTTTTAAATCATTAATGGGTAATTTTCAGGTACGAAAAGAAAACCAAAAAATCGTGTTTTTGCAGATTTGTTATTAGAAGACAAAAATAAATACTCAATACGTTCAAAGATCGCAAAAGTCGAAATTAAAATCAAAAATTATTTGTTTCCAATTCCAGGTTTTACCACATATTTTTTAGTCGAATTACAAAGTTTTGGCTCCATTTTGATTTCATCTTCAAGCGAAGTTCCTACTACAAGATATTACACTTAATAACTTTTATGGCCACAGTAAGTGTGAGTAAATAAAAAATTTTGACAATATTCCTAAAGCTGCTGCGTTCACTTGTATGATGTTAGGCGCCTATCGCCACATCCAAGTAAGTAAAAAACCTCGCATTTAATGAAATTGTCAATTTTTATTCAAAGGATAAAGTCGTAAAAGAATTGAACGATGATAAGCAAGTGTCAATTTGGATGATTTATCAAAACTGGTGTATCTGGATATGTGTGTCAAAGAATCGATGAGGTTATTGACAATTGCTTCTTTTATTTTTCGAGACACGACCAAGGAATTTCCGTTGAGAAATCTCACAATTCCGGAAAATGTGACTCTAGCCTTGTCGATTTTTCACGCACATCGGGACCCCAATTTTTGGGAAAAACCGGACGAGTTTTACCCGGAGCATTTTGCACCGGAAGTTGTGGCAAAACGCCATCCTTTTGCCTTTCTTCCGTTTAGTGCAGGTCCTTGCAAATGTATAGCTCAACAGTATTCGACCACTTACATGAAAATTCAGCTGTGTACAATTTTACTAAATTACGAAATTGAGTGTCGATACAACATGAAAAATATCAAATTAACAACGGATATTTCGGTCAGGCCTGTGCAGGGCTA